GGCTGGGCTTGGGTAACAGTGCTCTATATTTATCTCTGGATCCCTGACTCCAGAGGGGTACAAAGAAGGTTTACCTCAGTGTGGAAGGAGACACCATAGGAGGGGAGAAAAAACCAAGAGTGACCTCTCTCTGCAACTTACCCCTGATGGAGCAAGGAATGCCAGAGGGAACGAAGCTCCATGGGGCATTTCCAGAGCCACTGCTCACCACCAATGGCTCACTGGTGCTGCGACAGCCTGGGGAAGTACTTCCAGCCCCAGAAAGGGGCAGTTGGGGAGAGACTGCAGCATCACAGGGCAGAAGATGCCAGAGGTTCGCAGCAGGTGGCAGATAAGAAGTGCAAGCAGCAGGCATGGGTGGTTGGAGGATCACTAGTAAATTCAGGTACTGAAGGCCAGGATGTTGGAGCTACCGTCCTGACCACAGTGAACTGCCACAACTAAAGAGGAGTCAGGTCAGAGGTGGCACAGGTAAGGTGGGAGCCAGGGAGGGGCTGCTTAGCATCGAAGCCTCCCAGAGTGAATTGTTCTTTGAGAAAAGACTGGAAATTAATTGATAAGAGAAGTAACCCAGAGGTGAAATGGACAATCAATCTTGGCTTAGAGACAAGGGATGAATTGATGGAAGTATTTGTGGGATTTTTGTTACGAATGACTGAGGCATGAGTTGATTTGTTTTTGTTGAGTTTGGCCCTTGGCAGGACTGTTAAAAAGGGCAACTGGCATGGGACATTGACCCCGAAGACAATGCTTGCCTGGCTGAATTTCGGCTGGCTGACCAGAGTTGGTTAAAAAATGAATTGATTTAAGTTCATGTGTGCCCCTGTCAATGAACCAATGACAGGGGAAGGACCTTGTTGAACTACCTGTTAAAATCTCCCAAACCACTCCCCTCAGGGTACCCCCTGGTAGGGCATGACACAGATCCTGGGCAGCCTGGATAGGTCTGCTGTATGCAACCTTTGGGTGGGGGGGAAGGTTTATGCCCAAGATAAGAGCGTCATATAACATCAAGGAAGTGGTAAGGGTGGAGTGTAGGGGAGGCGATGCCCCACATAGAAACTCTATTGACAGGCCCAAGGTATCACCCAGCAGAACTAGCTCCCTAATAGAAGTAAAATCAAAGTCATGGTGGGCAAGAGAATAACATCAAAGAGCAGCTGGGTGTAATCATGGCTTCTTTCATCCTGTCATCATCTGTCAGGAGGACATCAGGCTGGAGGGGATCCAGGTCTTACAGCACCTACTCTTGACACTCAGACTGAGAAAAGAAGATATGCACTTTTTGTATAGTTAAGATGATTCATTGCATGGAGGTTGAAAGAGTAAAAAGAGATTAATTTCACACTGTTGTAGAAGTCAAAAAGCAAGTGTTTTGTGAAACAGTCCATCACAGCCATGTAAGTGATCAAATAAAGCAGTAAGATACATGACATACAGTGCCCAGCCTACTATTAAAAATATCCTACACACTAAGGTACAAGTATGATAACCTTAATTTGTAAGTCATACTCTTTGCATACAAAACAGTGACTTACCTATGTCTGCAATGAGACTGCCAGGCTTTTGCTCCAATAGAAACTGACGAACACGAGGCCATGCTTTGCTTTGCAAGTCATTAAAATAGGAGGCTGTGCTTTCATACACGCTGTGTACATGCTGCTTTTCCAGCTGGGTAGCCTCATGTTCCATCCTAAAAAGAACATAAGATGTAACAGACAAATATTATGCATAGTAGCACATAAACTGTAGCAGTGGAGGTTGTAAATTTTATAGTAATTTAGAGTTCATGGCCTAATAAATTCCCAGTTATAAAATTATAAGATTCACCTACAACACATTATCTTTGTAAAGTGCTTTCTTTTCTCAAAGGATCTGATTTAGCACTGTTCAAGACAATGAGGTGGTTAGCCATGTTAGTTTGAAGTTGGATAACGCAAGATGGCACCTTAGAGATTAATTGGTTCAGAGAAGCATGAGCTTTTATGCACTCAGAGAGGCTTTCATGAACTCTTGTAGGCAAAAACCTACTTTGTCAGGTGCATCTCTGAACCAGTCTTTAGATGCCATCCTGGCCTATCTTCTGCCATTCAAGCCAACTGAAGTTTTCCAGCTGAGCTCAACGGACACAGGGTAATGCCCAAAGAACATTATGCAATAACCTTTATGTAGGAATGCACACTGACAGACTAATTTTACTAAGAAAATGCAGACAGTCTCAATGGGTGGGAAACCATACAGCAGTTTGGGGTACTGAATACAACTGAAAAAATAGATAGAAGTACACAGAAAGTAATTATGTGAATTGAAATGTGGCCAAGACATTGAACCTTAAACCCCATAATCCTTCAGAAAAGGGCAATGACATTTCTAATTCCCAATGATCCACAGCTGGTTGGAAAATTCTCATCAAAACACCATTTTCCACCAAAACACCCTTCTTTCTCCCTTTTCTAAGTCTGAATCTCAGTTCAGTGACTTCTCTGAAAGATGGCCCTTTCACTCTTGCTGTTACAACTGTGCTAGGGCACTTGCTTGATACAGAGTGAGATATAGGGCCAACACTGACTCATTACTACAACTTTTTCATGACAATGTAATTTACTTTCCATCCAAGCATTACAGTCCAGCTTTATTAATCTCACGAGTTCTGATGAGATTACGTTCCATAGTTTTATGGCTTCAAGCATTTATATGGTATTCTTTATGTTTACTCACATAGCTGACTGCCTGGTTTAGAAATTGTTCCTTCATACTATTAAAATGGGAGTTATTAATCATCCAGTGGTTTTATTCAAGTTGCCAACAGAGACTAAACCTGTTTACAGGTTCCCCCTGAGGCAACAAATAACCCATTGTAGAGATGAAATCACTGAAGTGATTCACTTGCTTGCATCTGAAAATGTCAAAGGGACTTCCACTTGCCAGAGAATGCATTCCTCGTGATTTTCCTTAATTTTCAGGCACCACCAGTCTCTAGAATTAGTTCACTGTAATAGCTTTTAAGAGGCAAGTTTTAAACAAGATAACAAAAATAACATAAATTCTTTAACACTCCGGCCCTGAAAATAATTCAGATGTGCTTTTAACTTTGAATATTTGAGTAGTCCTATTCACTTCAACTGAACTATCCATGCACCTTAGGTACATAAGTGTTTACAAAATAAGACCTACGATTTCAGCTATTTATCTGCTTCATCAATTTTATGGCCTGTGTTATGCAGAACATAAAGAGCAGGTGATCATACTGGTTCCTTATGATGTTAGCATCTATGAATATCTCCCTTGAAGAGCACCTTGACCACTATATTAACTGCTTCAATATTCAAACCTTGACTGCTAAATTCAATGTATTAAAAAATATTTAAACCTTGACTGCTATATTGACTGCTTCAGGGAAAGAATGAACAAAGAAATAATCCAACACATGCCACCATAACAACCTCTCCCTCTCAGAGAGCAGGGCCATAGAATCCCTAAGATCTAACCACCAAATATTAATACAACCAGCAGATAAAGGAGGAGCTATAGCTATTCTTAATTGTGAAGTTTACATAAAAGAAGCCAACAGACAACTCTCTGACACCACCTACTACAAAAAACTAGAGGATGATCCTGCTCCCCTTTTCACCTTGAAACTCAAAGCTACCATCAAATCATTTCCATCAGAACTACAAGAAAAACTACAGAACTTGATCCCCTCACTACCCAACTCAGGGACTTTTTACATGCTCCCTAAAATCCACAAAGGGGGAACCCTTGCAGACCTATCATTTCCAACCATGGAACCCTCACTGAAAAAATATCAAGTTTCATCAAATTAATCCTAAAACCTCTCGTCACCTAACGAGTGAGTTTTGTCCAAGACAGAACAGACTAAGAAAGCTTAAAAACACACCACCATCCCAGCAACATTTCCTTCCAAGTCACCATGTGTACTACCAGCCTATATACCAACATCCCACATCAGGATTGCATTCAATGCCTGCCTTACATATATACAAGAGCAAAATTACAACTCAGACTACAGACCCAAAGACACTACTGAAATTATACACTTCATCCTCACATTCAACTTCACTTTCAATAACCAATACTTCCTCCAGACCATGGGCACAGCTATGGACACAAAAATGGCCCCACAGTATGCCACCTTTTCAATGAGCCACCTGAAAGAAAAAATCCTCAAGGACTGCACCATCAAGCCCATGATATACTTAAGATATATCAATGACATCTTTATCATTTGGACTGAAAACTTGCAATCTCTGATTGATTTATATTAGAAATTCAACAAGCATTATTCCTCCATCAGACTATCTCTGGAATACTCCAACACCAATAGTTCCTTTTTAGATATGATGGTCACTATACAGAATGGTAAAATATAGACCACCATATACAAGAAACCCATGGCCCAACATCCATATCTTCACAGAACGAGCAATCACCCTAAACACACCAAGAAAGCTGTAATATACAGCCAAGCCCTCCGGTACCACTGAGTTTGCACTGAGGAGAACACCCATGATCGTCACTTCACAAATCTCAAAAGGGCCTTCACTCAACGAAGATGATCCTCCAGAGATAAAGATCGCACTTTTGAAAAAGCCGCTCAGATACCACGTGAAGAATTGCTGCAGTACAGAAGGAAAAGCCCCATGAATTGCACACCACTGACATATCAACCCTCCCTGGAACCTATACAGAAAATTCTCAACAGTTGCAACCCACACTAGAAGGAGACCCAATTCTTTAAGAGATCTTCTCAGAACCACCCATCCTAGCCCACCCATTCGCCGTGTTTTAGACTTCCTACAGTCTAAAACACAGCGAATGGATCCAGACCATGTCATGACAAAAAATGTAAAATCTGCCAACATATCTCCACCACCCCCACAATTATTACACCCCACAATAGAACCATCAATATTCCTAGATCTTATACCTGCACCTCCAGGAATGTTATCTATCTCATCCAGTGCACCAAATACACTGATGGAAAATATGTAGGAGAAACCAAACAACTGCATACCAGAATGAATACACACCAAAAAATCCATCAAAGACAAAAATACCCAATTACCTGTGGGAGCACACTACTCGCAAGAAAACCACTGTCTCCAGTCTCTCAGTTCTAATCCTCAAAGGGAATTTACAAACCCCCTTTCACAGATGAGCCTATGAACTTCGCTTCATTAACCCACTGGATACAAAAAATCATGGACTAAATATAGACACTGGATTTAAGACACATTATAAACTACCTAACATCTGACTCTCCAGGTAAACTTTTTACCAGCTATATTCATTCCCCTCCCCCCCCCTTCCCCCCCCCCCTTCTCATCCTTTGACTACAGCTACATTCACTCCTCTTCTTACCCCCACCTCTCCACCTCTCTCTCACCTATTGACCAACCCAATTTACATTTTTAACTGACTGATCTTCTTGCATACATACTGGCCTCTGGCTTCTTTACTACTCCGTCCAAGAAGAGCACAGACCATCTGCAGATGCCTCATCTGCCTGATGAGAGGTAATTGCAAAGAAGAATTTTTGCCAACTATTAGAGTTGGTCTAATACACGGGCGGGCAATTATTTCAGGTGGAGGGCCACTTACTGAGTTTTGTCAAGCCATCAAGGGCCACGTGACAGGCAGCCAGGGCAAATAAATATTAATTTTCTAAATTTTTTAGGGGCCCCACATGCCAGATAGAATGGCCTGGCAAGCTGCATCTGGCCTGCGGGTCACATTTTGCCCGCCCCTGGTAATAAAAGATATCAGATTTACCCAAAGAAACATGTCTGCCTAGGTCCTTAGACCAACACGGCTACAGCCTACACCCCTATCTCCCTTTAAAGCATTTACATTTAGTCTTAAGAATCCTTTCTTTCATCTTTTCTTATGTGATCCAAAATTTTATTTTGTGACTATTTGCAACAGAATTTTCTGAGTTTTAACTAGGAGCACTTAGAGTTGTAGAATCATGGAAAATTAGGGTTGGAAGGGAACTCAGGAGATTATCTAGTCCAACTCTCTGATCAAAGCGTGACCAACACCAACTAGATCATTCCAGCCAGAAATTTGTTGAGCCAGGTGTTAAAAACTTCCAAAGAAGAAGATTCCACCTCCTCTCTGGGTAACCTGTTCCAGTGCTTCAGCTAAACTTCCCTTGCTATAACTTGAGACCATTGCTTCTTGTTCTGTTATCTGTCACTACTGAGAACAGTCTAGCTCCATCCTCTTTGTAACCACCCTTCAGGTGGTTAAAGGCTGCTATCACTTCTAAATGCATAAAACCATATTTCTATAATTTTTCAGTCTAATTTGATAAGAGCTTAATAAGGTTGCCAGTTGACTTCTGTTTAGTTCTTTTGAAGTTATACCAAACTATAGCTAATTATCTGTGAGTGAACTCAGGCAGAAGCACGTAGCATTGAAACACAGACATGAAATGTTGTGACATATATCAGAATTTGTTGAACTAGTGCTTCTTCAGGGTGCCATTTCACAAAATGTAGTAAAATAGGTTGGGTTAGTTCCAGTAATTGCAAACTACTACTCATATACTGCTGTTAAACCCAAAAGTTTTCATCTCATTCAACCCTTTAATAAAATAGCTCAGTTACATTTTATCTTATTTTGGGTGTTTTATACCTACATTTCCTTTTCCTTTGCTTCAAAAACTCATATTATTTTATATCGCAGCTGCCTTCAGTCTTCCTTCTCTATCCATAAGTCAAACACCCAAGGCTGTCAATAATTAATTTTCCTTTGTCATTCAATATACCCCATGCTCTCTTTTTTACATTTCAGGCTTGGTGACCATGTATTCAATGTTTCTAAGTGTCCTTATCTCTCCACTTGAAACTCTTTCTTTTATTACTGCAGTTCTCAAAAAAAATGAATGTTTTTAGCTAGTCAGACTAAATTAACCTTCTGAAAAACTGCCATTAATGCTAAACATGAAATTAATTATCTGAAGTGAAGGTTACATCAGATATTTAAAATAAACACCAAGACAAATAAAGGCACTGATCTAATAGATATTAACTTTCAAACTGGCAGCATAAAGTTTCACTTTAAATAAGATATCTCAATTTAATTCCAATGTAAGGTGAGTTGTAGTTAATCCAGTGAATTAAATGTGAACATTTTTCTTTGACTGCATTTTGGGTGGATAGTCTAGAACTAATTTTGATGGGCACTGGACAAGACTCCACACCCAGCCCAGCAGTCACCAGTCCATATGCTGTCAAGTGCTGTATCTCCTACATCAATTTTTTTTTCAACTGTCTGATTGACTGTGATTGATTTTGACTTTTCTCCTACAGTGAGGAGTACACTCACTGTAACAGTTAGAAGTTTCTCTGGTAACAGCACTGCAGTCTATGTTATTAATTATTACATTTTATCTGGCCTATTTTTCCAGTTATGATGAGTAATGGTTCTCCATCAATTATCTACATGTTAGAGGCAAGGTAATGTAAATATAATTATTAAAAAAAAAATTTTTAAACCTTAAATGATAGTCAACTTAACTTACTTTTCATAATGTATTTGCTTGGATTTTGCAGTGACAAAGGTTCAATAATGAAATACAACCAGCCAGATTCACTCTCTAGTTCTATTCATTACCATATAATAGTGCTATATTTCAGCTTGCAACATTGCAGAAATGTCCTAAGCTTTTACATTATTTTTTTTAATGCAGAAAAACATGTAAAGTTTAATTCTTCACTTGTTACACCAGTTTCACACTAGCTTAACTCCAATGAAGTCATTAGAGCTATATCAATGTAAAACTTGTGTTAACAGAGGAGAATTAGGCCTGTACAATCATATTATAGTTTGTACCTGCATAGCACAGATACATTACTCTATTTTTCTTTAACAAAATATGTTTCTTGACTTTAAAAAAGTTAACAGCATCTCTTTGGTTCACACAGTAAAAAGTGTTCAAGGTTCTGATTTCCGGTCTAGAACTTCCATAATACTGGAGAGTCTACTTAGGAAAAAAGGTAACACTACTGAAGGTTGCCCACCACCCAACTCTGTCAGGCTAGAGGCAGACATTCAAAAAACCTGAGCCTGAACTGATTCAATCTTTGCAGGTTAGTCTAACCTGCCTAGATTGAATCAGTTTGCAACTGTACAGACATTCCCCCTGGACTGAAAAAACACAGGCATATGCCTGCAGTGGCTCAGGCTAGAAGCTGGGGGGCACTAAACCAGTCCTCCCTTCCCTACCACAGCTTTTACCAAGGAAAGACCAGAGGGACATTACCAGCTACCTGTTGATTAGCTCCAAAAAGCCCTAAGCTGACAGTGTCCTGTCTGCTTTTGTTCTGTTTCCTACAGCAAGGACCATAGCCAGCATGAGGTATGCTAATGCTCACAGGTGTCTGGAAAG